ATTAAATAATAATAATAAAGAATGATTGTTGTTAAAAAGAATTTAATTGATTTTTATTACAATAAATGTTAAGTTGTCACTACTCTCATTTACATATGCTAGTTTTAATGTGTCAAAAGCTATATTAAACATTCCACCACTCTTACTAATAATATCTTCTAATTCTTTCTCAGTTACACCATCAGTAATTCCATCACTCATTAAAAATAATAATTCAATACCTTTTTTTTCTAGTTTAATAAAGTCAGGTTCAGTTGTTAATGGTGGATGAAGAGAAGGATCTCCAATACTTCGGGTTACCATAATTTGTCCATTAACTCTTTTAACTCCAAACATACCAAAGACAACTCCTCCATTCATTTCAATACGTTCTACTTCAGCACTATTTGTTGCTTTATGTTCTTTAGTAATTTTTTTAATTTTATTGTTTTTATATATATATGCAGGAGAATCTCCACAATAAGCAATTCGTATAGTGTCTTTATCAATAAATGCAACTGTTGACGTTGTTCCAGATTTACTTGTTTCACATGATTTTTCATGTAATTGTTTATGAGTTTTAATAAGTTTTGCTTCAAAAGTCCCTTCATTTTCTTTAAAAGTTTTAATATATTGTTCAGTACATAAATAAGCTGCATCCTTTCCATTATGTCCATCAAATACTCCAATAATATCAGTTCCTTCTATACTTGAACAATCTACAACGACAGTATCTTCCATTTTTCCTCTTCTTCCAATTGATTGGCAAATTGCTATTTCATATGATTTAGATGGTTCTATGTGTTGGAGGATATATTCTTGGAATTTTAATCCAGGGTCTCCCATTTGATTAATTTCTAATCCATCTACTTTGACAACATCCTCTCCTGGTTTTAATAAATAACAAAATGTTAATGGTGGTAATTCTAATTGATTATGTTGATCTTCAAAAGATTTTGATAGACTCATGCTCATATATTGTTCCATAACTGATGTGTCAAATATTATTTTTTCTTTATTTTGAAATGAATAATCATCGTAATCAATATAATATGGTGTTTTTTCGTTGTTCATCTTAGTTATTAAATTTTTTAGTTTTTAAAAATAAAAATTTTTACAAAATAGAATCTATTATAGAAAAGCCATAATGCCGTAAAATGATACTATTTGCTGCCTTTTCAATAGCAAAAAGAATAGTAAGTATCTCTACAAAAAATGAAGAAGTCCATGAATATACATTATGAAATATAATTAAAAACAAAAGACCGTTTATAAAATCAGATGGTATTATCCTTCCTCCTTTTTTTGGAAGTGGAATACCAAATATAAGTTTAAGTATTGTTAAATATGCACCTGTTCCATAGCTTGCAAAAAGAGCATTCAAAAAACAAATAATTGTACATTGTCCATCTCTTATTCTTAGTATATATTTTGATACTAAACTTGTAGCTATTGCTAATGAAGATATAATAGTAAATATATCAGTAATGATAGGTGTATTTTGAAGCCATTTTGTAAATGATTCTATTTGTAATACTGAAGCTATTAAAACTTGTATTATAATGGTTTTCCAATAAATAGTCAATATACCTTTGAATATTAAATCATCCATTGTATTTATTAAACAACCAAATAATGTAGATATTAATATTCTTTGTAATACAGAGTCAAACCTTTTTAAATAATAATGAAGGTTTAATTGTATGGATAACGATAATGCTATTTGACAAAAAGGGAATGAAACAACTTGACTACAATATAAACATATTTTGTCTTTGTTTTCTGTCATAAACAATAAAAATGAAAATAAAAGTTGATGAAATATCTTTAAAAAAGTTATTTCAGGACATAAGCGTTAAAAACTCAATAAGAACAAATTAAAAATAGGAAAAATGTTGAAATGAATAAATAAAATAACTCAACGACATTTTACTTTTTTGATTACTATCCTTTTGTTTTTCTTTCCGTCATTAATGTTGTTGATAATCCATATCTATTGTTTCATAAATTTCAAACGTCAAGAATTTACTTTTTTGCAAGAAATTCAATAAAAACAAATTCTTTTGTATTTCTTCCATAACTTATGGTACAGTGTTGTGCCATTCTTCAGTTGCTAATATGGTCCAAACTCAACTTAATCTATTCATTTTATCACTGATACATAAGATAGAGAAATAACATAACAAATACACTTATTTTCTAAGAAAAAATAAACAAAATTTATTCATATGCCTTTTAAAGTTTTTGTTCCTTCTTAATCAGAAAAGAAATCAAATTCATTGAATATTCAAATACAATAACTCTGTAAAAATTATTTTATGAATAAAAGACAATATTAAATAGAATATTTCAAATGACCTAAATTATTCGTTCGATTTAATAACAAAATATATAATACCTTATTTGTTTGGATAAGACTTAAATCCTATTTAGACATTGTCTAGTTGGAAGACAAAAATTTAAAAAATAGAAGAAAAGCTGAATAAACAAAACAAAAATGAATTATAATTAAAACCATTTCTCTTTCGATAATTTGGATTTAGTACTAATTCTAGAGTAACATTATAAACGTGCATTGGCTATAGTATCAGACACTCCAAGAACTAAACTAAGTGCAACATAAACAATGCCAATAGCAAACCATATAATACCTAATACAACAACAATTAAAGAAATAATTTTGATTTTACCACCATAAACAAAAGAAACAATACCTGGGATGAAATAAATCATTATAACTCCACAAACTGCTCCATTAAAAGCAATTTGAATATCATCCATCCAAAATAGTGCTGAAAGCATTCCAGCAAAGGAAGTAAATATTAAACAAATTACAGCTCTTCTAATTAATGATGGTTGCCATTCACTGAAAAATTGTTCATCTATAAGGTCATGAATAAAAGTAAACAATGATGGGACTGCTAAAAAGAAAGTTGAAATAAATAGACATGCAACAAAAACATCAATAGTGAAGAGAATGTTATTTGTATCATAAAAATCTGATGGATAAAATAATAATGGAATAGCATGTGTTTCTGAAAACAATGTGTTATAAACAAAATTACCATATAAAATTGCATAAACTCCAATTGTTAATAAAGCAGCTAGTAAAGCACTAAATTTAACATTTGTTGATGCATTAATTGAAGGAGAAACTAATGGGAGATTATTATGTGTAGCAAAAATACAAATAAAATAAGGGAAAATAGAAAATCCATCACCAAATGTATAATTTGGTACTTTTAAATTTTCTTTAATACTTTCATAATTTGGGTTTAATTTAAAATGAATAAAATGTGCAATAGAAGATATTAATAATAAAATATATGCAATAACAGATAATACTCGAGAATGAACTGAGAGTTTAGATATTAATGGAGAAAATGAGAGAATAGAAAGAAGAAATACTATGAAATGAATACTTATTTTAAGAATTTCATTTGATGTCATAAGAAGTCCATGAGCTTCTCCACGAGCATGGTTTAATAAAAATTCAAGTAATGCAGAAATTAACGTTACATATATTGACACTTGAACTAAATTATAAATTAGTTGTACTACCTTAGTAAATGTACGTAATGAATTACCCCCAAATCTCCATGCAATTTCATAAATACTATCAAATTGTGCTTTTAAATTAAGTTTATAAGTTAACCATACTGTGAGAAAACTTATTAATAAAGCAATAAAAATAAGAAAACACCCATAATATGTTGTTGCATATTTTAATGCTAACGGAGTAATAATTAATTCTGGACCAACTAGCATTAAAATATTCTTATAATACAATGAAATCCAAATTTTTAAATCACTAATACTCATAGAATTAGAATAACAAATATTTAGTTCTATTTTTAATTATATAATAGTTCTATTAAAACTTGAATAAAAAAAAAAGAAAAGAAATATTAACTAAATGGCACAACAATTTATTGATATTGGTGCAAATCTGACTGATGACAATTATTTTGGAAATTATCATGGAAAACACTACCATGAAGAGGATATTGATGTTGTACTTCAACGTGCTGAAAAAAATGGACTAAGTCATATTATTATTACATCAGGTTGCCTTAACGATTTTAAGAAAGCTATTGAAATCATTAATAAGTACCAAAATTTAACTAACATTAAATTGGTTACTACAATTGGTGTTCATCCAACTCGTACAAATGAGTTAAAACAAGAAGGGTATTTAGATGAACTACTTTTATTATGTGAAAAAAATATTGATAAAGTTGTGGCTATAGGAGAAATTGGGTTAGATTATGAAAGACTTCAATTTTCTGATAAAGAAACTCAACTTAGTGGATATCGTACATTAAGCGTTCTTCATCAAAAATATCCTTATTTGCCTTTCTTCTTTCATTGTAGAAAATCTTGGTCAGATTTATGTCAATTAAATAAAGAATTAGGATATAATGGCTGTAAAGGAGTTGTTCATTGTTTTGATGGAACAGAAGAAGAAATGAATCAAATACTAAATGAGGGATGGGATATTGGTGTTACAGGAAATTCCTTACAATCAATTGAGTTGTTAAATGTTATGAAACAAATACCAATTGAACGTCTTCATATTGAAACTGATTGTCCTTATTGTGGAATTAAAAAAACATCTGCAGGATTTAAGTATTTGAAAGAGAAAGATTTTGGAGTCAAAGTAGAGAAATATCAAAGAAATAAATATGTTCAAAGAAGAAATGAACCATCTAATATTATTGATATTGCAATAATCATGTCAAGTATCAAACATATTTCTTTATTTGATTTTGTTAACAAAGTTTATTCAAATTCAATGAATATGTATTTCCCAACTATGAATTGATTCTTTTTTTTAAAAAAGTCTTGGTAGTAAGAAAATAAAACTGACAAAAAGATATCTTAATAATTTTATTATTTAATGGAAGAACAATTACCTGAGTTTTCTGTTATACAATTTCCTGGATTTGTTAAAAATCCAAATGCTCCATTTGAAGAAAAACTAAAACCACTGCTTGATTGTTTTGGAGGAGAAACAGTTATAAAAAATTATTTTCAAGGAACAACACAAAAACTAACGTTTTCATTTAGGCCAAATGATAAATGTGCATCAACACTCCCTGTTCATTCTGAGAAATGTAAAAACAAGTTATTAATTAGAATTTGTGATAAAAAAATTAATGTTATTGGTATTGTTACTAAACAACTTAGTGTAGACTCCTTAGCCCCCTTTCAAGTACTTGATCGATGTTCATTAAATATGCTTATTCCAGCAGAACAGTCTATTCCAAGTCCACTTGAAATTAATACTGTAAGAATGACAAAAATTGAACAACCCAATAGTGTTGATTTTAGGACAAGTAAAGAAAAAGAACGAATTATTATTGAAACACACCCATATTCATTACCCTTTAGAAAGTCAAAAGTTAAAGGTAAAAAGAAACAAAATCAGACAACCCCAAATCAAATTAATGAAGAATTGAATGAATAATTGTTATGAATAATTAAATTTATTTATTAAAATTAATATATCAAAGAAACTATTAAAATTTCAATATAATATGAGTGAAGAAGGAGGTGGAAGAACTTCTTTATTTGAAGAATTTTATTTTCAGATTCTACATTAAAAATAACATGACTTTCTCTCCTTGGAATTTATCATCTTAAAAAACCTCATGTCAAATTGTTTCCTTTGTCCTTGCTTTTCTTTCTTCTTGTATTGTTTTAACTAGATCTATAAATTTCATTTCTATGAAACACACTTTAAATATTGATTCAATTCAACAAGTCGCTCTATATTTTGAAACCATAGATGATTATAAAAATATTATTCTTTCTTCAAAGAAGTTTCAACATTTACTTGAATATTTTAAATCAAATCCAATACCATTAAATGATGAAACAATAAAATTCTTTCCTAACATAAACACTTATAACTTATTTTCTTTACAAGACACTTTCTATGAGTCTTTATCTTCTTTGAAGATTTGTTTTTATTGTAGAGTTTCATATCAAAGAAGTTTGAAAGAAATAAAAAAAGGAAATACATGTAAATTTATTTATTATTCAAAAGAAGATAAAAAGAAATTTGGAGATATTCTACCATCTCAAGTTAAGAAAATTGGTAAAGAGTGTTATTGTAATAATCCTTCTTTATCAATTTTCGAAGTTCCTTATTCAATTGTTGAAATTGGAGATAAATCATTTATGAATTGTACTTCATTAACTTCAATTGTTCTCTCTTCTTCAATAACAAGACTCTGTAATTATACTTTTCATAAATGCATATCCCTTCAAAAAATAAAACTCCCTCAATCCTTAAAACATATTGGATATAATTGTTTCTCCGGATGTTCCTCTTTAAATTCAATTCAATTACCAGAAATGTTACTTTCAATCGGTGATTATTGTTTTGATTTTTGTGTTAATTTGACTTCATTGTCTATTCCTTCTTCAATAACTTATTTTGGGATTCAATGCTTTTGTAATTGTTCTTCTCTTAAATCATTATCAATCCCTTCAAATTTAACTTCATTCAACAGACAACAATTTTATGGTTGTTCTTCTTTAGAAGAAATTAATATCCCTGCTCCTTATTGGATTGTTGGAAAACATCTTTTTTTCAATAAAATGAAACTTGTAGGTTGTGAATTGCCTTCTACCATTAATTCAATTAATAAAATCCCAGTTGCATTTGATATGAATCAGACTTCATTTGAAGTACCAACTGAAGTCAAATCCTTTGGAAATAAATGTTTTCAAGATGAACATTCTCTGAGATCAATAAGTATTAGAAAGTTTATTGACCGT